ATTATTATTATTATAATATGTACAGTCGTTATCAAATTGACACAGCCCACAGGGGACAGAGAGGGCCCAAGGACTCTCCGAATTTCAAGAGAAGTGCATGAACAGTCAGCACACTGATAACGGCAAGCTGTAAGGATTTGGTAACCTCATTGCTGAGCAGCTACAAAACTGGACAGACTTCCGTTTATAGTGCAAAAAGCAAATTTAGTGGCACAAAAATGTCACCAAGTGAAAGCAATCCTAACCTAAATCCATTTGCAAGCCCCAAGAATCTCCTTGAGAAGCCTATTGAGAAATACTTATTTCTCAGAAGTTGTGAAAATTAATCACAAAAATTCAAACTTTGGAAAGCAATTCCTTGATGGTAGGAATCTGGTTCAAGATACAAGTCTGTCTGCTTCATTTAAACTAAGAGAGCCAGATTCAGAAACCACATTCATCAGCGGCTGAGTCCCCCTGGCTTCCGTGAGGGCCTTTATCTGGAACTGTTAAAGCTTCCTCTGTACTCTGTGACCTAATATGCCGCAGAACAATAGAAGTGGGCTTCCCTGTCTAACCACTATCCTAATATTAACAAGGCAATGTAGCTTGGAGGAATACGTTCATATACACCACTATAGGATCTTTCCTTTCTAGCCATCCAGATTGATGTTATAACTCCACAGGCTCTTACAAGTACACACATGTGTGCTAAAAATGATCTGATAACCATACAGAAAAGAACTGAGCTATAATCTTAGGTTGGTCACTTAGCAGAGTTGTGAAAACTATATTTTCTCCCTTTCCCTAAGCTTCCCAGTGAGGCCCAGAAAGTTCTCAGTTTACATAACAAGGGCTCATACAGCAGAAATAGGGATCTTCGGGAAACTGGACTCATAGACATGAGATAGATAAAAGGGCATCCTTCAGACACAAAGTGGCCCACAATAAAATTCAACAACAACAAAATGCCTTCTGAGCTGGGTGGTGGTGTCACACGCCTTTAATCCCAGCACTCGGGAGGCAGAGGCAGGCGGATCTCTGCGAATTTGAGGCCAGCCTGGTCTACAGAGCGAGATCCAGGACAGGATCCAAAGCTACACTGAGAAACCCTGTCTCAAAAAAAAAAAAGTTATTTAAAAAAATGCCTTCTGAGCCACCAAGCACCAGGCACAGTGGTGCAATCCTGTCATCTCTGCACTCCAGAGGCTGAAGTAAGAGGATCCAGATTTGGTGGGCAGCCTTTGCTACCCAGCAAGACTCTACCTCAAAAAATAAAAGGGAAAACTTCCATGGACAAGGCAACCCACATATTTACATAGTTTTACGATGAGTCAATGAGTAAACACCTTTCAACTTCCAATCCTGAGAATGACTCTGAATAACAAAGACATCTTTCATAAGTTAATTTCAATTTTAAAGTTTGTATATGAAAGATGTCCTAATGAAATCCATTACTTTTTATACTAAGCTAAAAATTTAATTCAAGAAATAAAGGGCTGGAGATGAGATGGAGAGATGGCTCAGCAGTTGTGATCACAGGATGTTCTTTCAGAGGACCTGGTTTGATTCCTAGCACCTAGACTGTTCACAATCACCTATAACTCCAGTTCCAGAGAATGTGACACCTCTTTTGCCCTTCTCAGGCACTGGGCACCCACATGGTGCACAGACATACATGCAGGCAAATATCCACACACATAAATAAAAATTTTAAAAAGAAAAGCTGGACTTTAAGTCACAACTCCCTTGTTTCCCATGTAAACAGACAAGCAAAGGTTAAAACCTCATGTGTTTGTTATTATTGCTGTTTTGTCCTTTTGAGACAGTCTCAATATGTAGCCTTAGCTGGCCTTGAACTCACTATGTAGCCTAACTATGTGGTTGGCCCTGATCCTTGCATTGATCCTCCTGCCTCTGCCTCCCGAGTGCTCGGATTACACCTATGCACCACTATACCTGGCTTCAAGTACATTCTCCCAGCACATACACACCCAACCTATTTCTGAGATTTGTGCTTTCTCCAAGGCTCCACAGAACAAGAGGAAGGAGGCGAAGGGTCCTCTGCAATGGGCTGCCCTTACTGGGGAAAGCCACCCCTGTCTTGTACAGGTCCCTAGATCATCAGACACCCCAGTTATGTTTTCAATGCACAGCTGCTCTTTTATCTACCATGTATGTCCAAGATAGAGCCTTCTCTTCTAACTAGTGAGCTCACTAAAAGGGATAATGCAAAAGTTACTTTACTTGATCAAAGAATTTATCTCATGGTGGAGTGTTTGACAAGTGTGAGATCCTGGGTTCAATCCCTAGTGCAGGAGAGAGAGAGAGAGAGAGAGAGAGAGAGAGAGAGAGAGAGAGAGAGAGAGAGAGAGAGAGAGAGAGAGAGAAACTACCCCAGTTGCAATATCAAGAAGCTATTTGGTGGAGGAACAATACCTCTAATCCTAATACTAAATCTAATGTAGATTTAGGCTACACAGCTACCCTCCAAGGATCAAAATATGAAAGAAAAATCTGCAAAGGTTGATACAAATCACCTGGACTTCATTAGGTCAAAATCTGATTATTTCTATTCATAAGTTCGTATTTTTTTTCTGGTTGCTTTGTTTTAAAAGACCTCAACAAAACTGATATGAGAATAGAATAAAGGAAGAATAATAGAAGGCAAACACATACTTCGTGTGTGTGTGTGTGTGTGTGTGTGTGTGTGTGTGTGTGTGTGTGTGTGTATAAAATCTATTTGTCAAAATGCATAAAAAAATTGATAGGCATTAAATCTTCTGGAAGTTTCTGGAATCCCCTTGACACACACTCTATCCAGTATGCTACTCTAGTGTTAATTTTCTATTTAAATGTCAATATCTTTACATATAATCTTTCCCAGCTTCCCTGGTATTTTCTGCAACACTCATCCTGGCTGCCTATCTACTTCTTTTGACATTCAGTAATCTTTTTTTTTTTTTTTTGGTTTTTCGAGACAGGGTTTCTCTGTGCAGCTTTGCGCCTTTCCTGGAACTCGCTTTGGAGACCAGGCTGGCCTCGAACTCACAAAGATCCGCCTGGCTCTGCCTCCCGAGTGCTGGGATTAAAGGCGTGCGCCACCACCGCCCGGCTTGACATTCAGTAATCTTATCCATTGGATCAGAACACAGAAGTCACCAAAAAGGATTTGATTCTAAGGCGACAGCAGAAACAATGCTACATTATACAGTATAATGACATCACTTAATGCTCAACTGAAGGGCACTCAATGGCATATAACCTGGTGTAGTTCTGGAAGACACATCTCTTTCACTGTAGATTTGTTTGAAACACTTGTATTGACTGGAGGCAGTTCTGCACTCGATAGCATTCCAAAATAACCCTTGACCTCAGATGCATTCCACAGACCGTGACAAGACTTGCTGTGAACTGGCGGGTGGGGAGGGAAGACCGAACAAGGTGAACCTAAGACCTGGGTTTGGACCCAGCTACAACTTGGCTGTGTCACCTCGAGCATCTCTTTTGATCGCCAGGGTTCTAATATCCTCAAAGCAAAAGATGAAGAGGTTGGACTAAGTTCTCTTCGAAGTTTCTTCCAACCTCTAAAGTTCTTTGAAATTTCAATAACTCCTCCTTCATTGAAAAGATAAGCAGTAATGATGGGAAGTTAACCTAGATTTTTTTTTCCTTAAAATTTCTGAGATGTTTTCTTTAGCTGAAGTTTTTCTATAAACTCTATGTCAAAACTATATGCAGAAAATATGGAAGGTCTGAGGGCTGGAAAAGAGAATCACTCACTGATGCCACTAAAATAGAAATTTCAATTATCCTCAGGCCAATTTGTCAATAGTTACTCAAAAGCTACTACTCCAATCACTGGCTTCCTAAAACAAAAATATGTTTCGTCGCTCCCTTCTCATCCCCAGAGATTCATTCCAAATAATATTAAATAAATAAATAAACTAACAACCACAGCATCTAAAAATCAATTTACAACTTTAGAACAAGTTTCCGGGAGTCAAGGAAACTCCGCACAGCTTCCCCGAGTCATTGGTTTCATTTACGGAATGACGAGAGATAAGAAACGGTTCTTATGGTAAGACGTGAGAAAAGCCACAACAGGCAGGTGACATCTGGAAAAAAGGAAGAAGCTTGAGGGGCCTTTAGGCAACAAGTTTAGAGAGCAGGAAAAGAGTCCCCCAGGGATGTGGGGGAATCTGTCGCTGCCACCTCGCCCCGCCGTCTCCCCCAACCCCCACCGCGTCGCCGCGCCCCCGCCCCCCATCCCACGCCCCTGCGGCAAGAAATCTCCCTAGGATCGCTTGTTTCCCGCGGCCTCCTGCCCTCGGCAGGCCTCCGATCCATCGCAGAGGCTGCCAGACCCCGCAGGCCCGCCATCCTCGCCGCCACCCCGCAAGACGCAGCGGCCCCGCAGCCCCCTGGCCCCGCTCACCTGCACCTGTTTGCGGAAGTGGCGCAGCCCCGGCACTGCCGACGGTCAGGAGGAGCAGCAGCAGCAGCAGCAGCAGCAGCACCGGCGTCCCCGAGGACGCCGGCGGCCCCGGCATCTCGTCCACCGCGCGGTCCCCCGGGGCCAGCTCTCGGGTCGCCGCCTTCAGTCAGTCAGTCAGTCCTCCGCGCTGCCTCAGCGACACCGGCGCCGGCTGCTTCGGGACACACGTCTCTTCGGCCAAACGTCAACCTCGTTCCCGGTCTGCATCCGCCGCTCTGGCCGCAGAACCATCATCATTCTTCCCGCCCGTCTGCGCCGCCGCCGCCCCTCAACAGCAGCAACGGCAGCCACCCTGCGGAGCCGCGGGCCCGGGCAGCCGCGCTCCCGCCGCCATGATGGGCTGCGTCATGTGACGTAGGGCGGAGGCGGGATGCCGTGACCGACACCTGGATTAGCCAATCGTCAGTCCATACTGGCTCCGGAGGCTCCGCCCCCTCAGCCGGAGGAGGCAAGGTAGAGATCGCTGCGCCCCCTGCAGACGGAGGAATGCGGCGTGGGCAGCAGGTAACACCGACAATTACTTTAAAATTTAAATTATAGGAAGATATAAAGAAGGCCATAAAAATCCACTTATAAGTCAATCTGGGACTTTTTCTCTCTTTTTCTTACTTTTCTTTTTATTCTTTTTCATTTCTTGTTTTCAATCAACATGGTTCTCCATATTTTATTATCCAAAACATAGACCGATTTTGCCTTCTTCATTTTTACTAATCGGAACTTTCCTAGCCTCTTCACCTTAGGTTGACCCTCACATCCTATCAGCTTTTGAGGAGCTTTGAACTTTTTAAAATTTCAATTAAACAAGAACAGAATGTTTGTGCCTTCACCAGCCAGTGACGTAGCTCGTAGGCTCAAGCTGGCCCCTCTGCCAAGACAGCCCAGCCCGTCCTGTCCCCTCTTGTTCACCTGGCAGATGCTCTTCCTTTCCTTCGTCAAGACACACCTAGACTATGACTTCATCGATGAAGGCTTCTCACCAATCCCCCAAACAATTGAACATCTACAGCCCCACCCCAACCCAGCCCTGGACCAGATACCATGTTTTATTGTTCCTGTGACTGTAAACCCCTTGAAGACAGCAGCCTCTCTTAGCCTGAAGTAGGTGTCTTCTAAAGGAACTGTGCTAGGTGTTGGTGCTGGGTGTGAGGAGGGAGCAGCTTCCAGGTGAGGAAGAAGACAGAGAGATTGCTTGCCTTGCTAGCCTGAGGACCTGAGTTTGATCCCCAGAACCCCACATAAAGAAAAGCCCACCTTGGTGGAGCATGCTTGCTGGGGAGGCAGAAAAAGATGGATCCTTGGGGTTTGCTGACAAGCCTAAGAAGCAAGTTCCAGGCCAAGAAGAGCCCCTACCTCAAAAAAAAGGGGGGACCTAAGGAATGACACCCAAGATTATCTTCTGCCCTCCATACACAAAGAGAGAAACAAATTTTACAAAAATGCACACACATACATGAATTCATGCTCAAACACAAAAGGAATGGAGAAAGCACTTTCAGTAACACAGCTCCGAGGCCACTTTGTTGGGGGTGGGGAGACCACCTTTTCTGACTCTGATGGTCCAATTTGTGAATGAGAGGAACTGATTTGCATCTTATCAGAGGGGACTTGAGCAACTGGCAAAGACAGAGCTCCCCCCATTCTCCAAACTCCCTGTAAATCCCAGCTGTCCATGGTGCCAACTCAGCACAGGGCACAGGATGTGTGGGGAACAACGTCTGTTGTTGACGATTGAGGCAAGCCACACTAAACACCTGAGGAAACAAGTAGCTGGTATGTGACGGATGCCTGAGCTTGGCTGCCACTTTCTGCTGGTCTTTCTGTGGGAAAGGGAAGGGAGGCAAAGGTCTAGAGAGGAGGCATAATCGCCCTGTTGTGCTTTGGGTTCCATCAGGAAGCTCAGCCCGCTGCGTTGAAGGAAGCTGGGAATTCATGCTACAACCTGACAAGAGACTCTGTGAAGAGCAGAGCTGGCCCAGGGAAAGCCCTGCCTCGTAATCCTCCTGGTAATTAATCATAATTAAGATGCACCCCAACAACGTGTCATTATGTGATCACAAAGCAGGTTTTGTTTTTATTTGAGTAAGCCCCAAAGTTGAAACACACACAAACACACAACTGTTTTCCCCCTCGCATGGGTTAAGGTACACATTCCTCAGAGGCTGTCTGATGGAAACCTTTACCCTGGCTCCCACCTCACTGTTTCTACCTTTGCCCAGTGCTTGCCTTGAAGACTTCTAGTTACAGATTTGACAAGACAAACAAAGACTTGTTGGATTGGTGAAGGTTCTTCTCAGAGTCGGGGGGAAAAAAAGCCATCTTTTAGCATAATTTAGGATTAGATTCCCTAAGATCAGAATCGATAATAGTTCAGTGTTTCTGTAGCTGTCTGCGCTTGTCTGCAGCCTTCTCCAAGTTTTCCTCCATGCCAAGCAATCGTTCAGAAGACCCTGCTAGCACTGTGTGTCCTGCCAGCTAGAGCTGGTGGAGGCTTGCAGGCTGAAGGACAGGAAGTCTGTTTAGTACAGAATGAGTTGCAGCTATGGAGAGCTGGTGTCTCGTAGGCACCCTAAAGGTTTGCAGAGCTCAGCTAAATCATATGGGACATCCAGGAGGGTCCTGTTGAAAGTCATTGGTTGAACTTTGTGGGCCAGTAGTTAAACACCACCATTCTTCCAAAAAAGAAAAAAGAGAAAGAAAGAAAATTATTTTATGTGTATGGGTATTTTGCCTGCTTGTATATATGTGTATATATGTTTGTGCTGTGCCCTCGGAAGCCAGAAGAGGACGTTGGATCCTCTGGAGCTGGAGTTACAGGAAGTTGTGATTTATGGGGGTGCTGGGAATTGAACCCAGTCTTCTGGAAGAGCAGCCATTGCTCTTAGCTGCTAAGCTGTCTCTCCAGCTCCACTCCATGAGGATCTTATGACTGTCCCTTGCTTCTCTAACTTGAATCCTTCTTGCTGTCAAATTACTTTAATCCAACTTCAGGCAAATTAGGAGACCAAGTAGGTTAAAGTTCTTCACAGTCCCTAGTTCTCTGCCAGCAGCTAGCTGGCTTTATCTGCATGCTGTGTTGGCTGTCCATCCAGGTGTGTCTCTGTGTCCCTTGGCTCCTACAGCCTTCTACATCCTGTCTAAGGCATGTGACTCCGGCAGATCATCATATGTCTTTCAGAGCCTTTCCTGAGCCACTTCCCACTTGGAAGGCGGGGAGAAACGCAGTATGACAAAGTTTATGTCTAATAAATTAACACTTTTAATATATGTAATCTATACTGCAATATAATGATGCTCTCCATAAGACAATTACAAGATTTATAAAAAGTATACAACAGACGGTAAGATTCAGGAATGGAAAATCACTTCAGAATCATATTAACGAACAGATTCCCACTCCCACCCCCACCCCAAGTTCATCAGCACGGATGCCTTCATTTGGAGGTAAGCTTTATTTAACGATGACTTTCAGATCATTTTTGATGTGTCAGACTGCTCTAAGCACTTTACACGTAATCACTCTTTAGTCTTTTTCTAATTTTAGGATATTTTCATCACCCACTAAAGAAATTCTGGAGCTGGGGAGATGGCTCAGCAGGTAAAGGCACTTGCTGCTGAGACTGACAATCTGAGTTCCATCCCCATGCTCCGAATGGGAGAAGAGAAGCGCTTCCCAAAGGAAGCCCTCTGACCTCCCAGAGCACCGTGCCATTGGGTGTGCATGCACACTCACACAGAAATAAATGAAGTAATAAAAAATGCTATACCTACTCCTAGCCTTTCCCCATCCCCCATCCGTAGGCAACCCCTAAATTATGTGTGTTTCAGTGGGGGGCGTTGCCCATTCTAGATATTGAATATAAATAAAATTATATACTATATGACTTTCTTATTTTGTAAATGACTTAATTGCTGGTTCCAGTTTGCAAATGATACAGAAACAGAGAAGCTAAGTGCTTTGGCCAAAGTAAGCAGCAAATGTAAGATCCAGGTTCCCCAGACTTTGCTGCATTTTACAATAACAAATGAAAAAAGGTGGGTGAGGTGGCTCAGCAGGCAAAAGTGCCACCAAGCCTAAGGACCTGAGTTCAGTCCCCATGACCCACATGGTGGAAAGAAAGAGCCAACTCCTCTAAGTTGTCTTCTGACCACCTCATACGCACCAGGCATGTCCCTGCCTACAGAAAATAAGTAAATAAATAAACATCTTTAATGAATAATCAAAAGTAGACATGCATGGGGCTGAAGAGGGCTCGGAGGTTAAGAACACTTGCTTCTCTTGAAGAGGACCCAGGTTTGGTTCCCAGAACCCATATGGCTACTCACAACCATCTGTAACTCCAGTTGCAAGGGATCTCATGACCTCTTCTGGCTTCTGAGAGCACCAGGCACACATGGGGTACCCAAACATACATGCAGACAAACACTCATTAGATAGAAATGAATAATTTCTTTTAAAAGCGTAGACAACTAAATATAATGGCACATGCCTGTAATTCCAGGACTATGAGTTCCAGGCCAGCCTGGGTGCTTTCTCTTTCTTAAAAACTAAAACCAACAAACAAAAAGCTTTGTTGTTGTTGTTGTTGTTGTTGTTGTTGTTGTTGTTGATATGGCAGATCTTTTTTAAAAATAAGGCACAGGCCAAGTTGTTCCATCTGTGCCTCTCTAGGAAGAGATTAGGTAAATGTTCACCATGGTGGTGCATACTTTTAATCTCAGCACCCCAGAGGCAGAAGCAGGCAGATCTCTATGAGTTTGAAACCAGCCTAATCTACATAGCAGGTTCCAGGTCAGCCTCAGCTCCATAGTGAGACCGTATCTCAAAAGAGAAGGGGGAATGGGAAAGAATTTGCCTTCAGGTAAGGCCAGGGGCAGAGGGGATGGTGGAGATGGAGATAGTGGTGTTTTCCCCAGAGAGTAGCGGCTCAACAATCTTTGTGGATTCCAAAGATAGAATCTCTCTCTGTATTTTAAATTTCTTTGGCCTGTCTAGTAGATGAATTCTTTCCTACATTGAGAAATCCCAACAATCTTTTTTTTTCTTAATCTGTGTGTGTGTGTGTGTGTGCGCGCGCGCGCGTGTGTGCGCGCGCGCGCACACGCCAGCGAGTGTTCTTGTGTGTAAGTGACATTTGTGAATACACACATGCCATAGTCTGTGTGTGAAGGTCAGAGGACAACTTTGGATGGCAGTCCTTGCTTTCTACTTTGTTTGAGACAAATCCCCTGTTCCTTTTTCTTCTGGGTACCCCAGGCAGACTGGCCTGGGGATTCTCCGGTCTCTGCCTCTTATCTCTTTGTGATAAGGCTGGGTTTACAGATACATGCTAAGGCATCTCCCTTTACATGGGTGCTGCAGATCCAAACTCAGGCTCTCCCCCTTACATAGCAAGCATTTTATACACTGTACCATCTCCTCAGGCCCCATGATATAATTTTGGTCTTACAAAGGCTAAGGGCTAGAGCCTTATAATCATCTCTCAGCTACTTTGAATTTCTCTGCAAAGACCCTGGGCCTCACCTTCCCATGGATGCAGCCTATGCTAGACAAGGCTCTCTAGAGGAACCCTGCAGCAACCCCACCTGACATCCTCTCATTCAGCCATTCCTAAATTACATGTGCATATGATTCTAGGCAGCAGCACAACCATGATGGACAAGACTGACTCAGTCCTCGTTCTCTTGGTGTTCATGCTCTGGCCTAGGACCAAAATCCCACAGTTGATTGTGAAAGACCCTGTGAATGAACTACTGCCATGGGCTAGGTGTCAAAGAACATGTGTGCCAGGCAACCGTCCCTGGTGATCAGGGATGGCTTCTCTGATGTTTAAGCAGCAATCCCAAAGAGACCAGAGGAGGATAAAACAAAGGGAGAGGGGATGGAGAGGTGCAGATGTACGCAGGTCTTTTTTGTTTGGGTTTGAGTTTTTTGTTTGTTTGTTTGTTTGTTTGTTTTGGTTTTTCAAGACAGGAGGGTTTCTCTGTGTAGCTTTGCGCCTTTCCTGGAACTCACTCTGTAGCCCAGGCTGGCCTCGAATTCACAGAGATCCACCTGGCTCTGCCTCCCAAGTGTGGGTTTGGTTTTTCGAGACAGGGTTTCTCTGTGCAGCCCTGGCTGTCCTGGAACTCGCTCTGTAGACCAGGCTGGCCACAAACTTAGAGATCAGCCTGCCTCTGCTGGGATTAAAGGTATGTGCTACCACTGCCTGGCTATGTGCAGGTCTTAATACTTTTTGTCTGTGGTGTGTCAAAGTGTGTGGTTCTCTGCTAGGCAGACCCGGAGGAGGTAAGTGTTGATGGGAAAAAAGAAGATCTGGTATAAGATGATGGGAGTTGGGTGTACCAGGGAACAGGGAGGATAGGCAGAGTCAGGCACTGAGTTTGGTAAAGAGATGAGACTTGGGAGATGATTTGGAGTAGTGTAGGGTCAGGCCTGGCTCCTTCCACTTGTCCCCACAGGACATGGGGGTTCTTTTTCCACTTTTAGGTCCAGGGCGCAAATATACTCTGTGAGTCCTATCTTTTCTAAGATCCCCTTGGAAGCCACAAGAGTCACAATGTTCCCATCCCTGTTTTAATTGTTGGTTTCTGGGGCTTTTCTTGCAAAGGGCACCACCGATCCTAGTCAAGTTTGCTTTTCTCCAATTCATTCCACAAGCATTCAACTAACCCCTCATGGGGCTGTAGTGCGTTAGGCAGGCTTCAGACACTGAGGCGAACAAGATAAGGTCCCTACCCTCGAGGAGATTACTCCTAAGATTGGCAGAGCACAGGCCACATGGGAAACCCCACCCACCAGTCACAGGGCCTTTGCCCCAAGCCCATAAAACCAGACTGACACTGAGTGTCACCGCCTGCTGTGTTGGTTCCCGCCAAGGCAACTAGGCAACTGGGCCAGCCTGGGCAGGGCACACGTAAGCTGGCATGTAGGCAGGTGGGGCAAGGTCTCTGGGCTGGTGCTTGCCACTCAGTGTCTGCTGTGTCACCCGCTGGCCCTTGCCCA